ATTTCTGCTGAAACTGAAGAGTAATGGCTGGCCGAAAACTGAAGAAATTAATTCCCATGAATAAATCTGAAACTGAAGAGGAGATGAACGGTTGAGGGGCTGAAACTGATTTCTACTGAAACTGAAGTTATTTTTCATTCACTTTCCAACACCAGTAAGGTGACCAACCATGTCTTGGCTTTCTACAAGAGCCATAGCTTGCTCTCTCCATAGAAGATAATTGTCGTGTTTGAGTTTGACGGTGATGAAGTTATTGACGTTGTGAGAAAGAGAGGCCATTGAGAGATAACTTGTTGTTCAACCTAACTCTGATACCAAGAAGAAAATTTGAATTGTATCAAATGATAATGTTTTATTGTTCTTTCACCAACGTGAGCAACAAGAGAGAATTACATGCCATATATACACAAAGAAAGGAAGCTGTGCAACGGTTAGAAATGCTACGGAGAAGGAAAGACATTGAGTTATGGCAACTATATCAGGATTTCCCTTCTTTTGACTGAGTTATAAAAGGATAAAATTGAGTGTATTGTCTTGATTTTATGCAAGTATCTTCACACAGTGATCATCTCCATAAATTGAGGATTATGTCCACAAAATTGATGCTCATTCACACGGTAATCATCTCCAGGAATTGATGCTGATCACGAGGATTCTGTCCACTGATTATGAAGATTCTGTTGTAGCTGATTGATTTGTGTTAATAGTAAACTCTATCTAAACACGGAGGAATTTAGTGATTTCATCATACCTTCAGATGGTGAATACTCTGTCATCCCATTCCGCTTTGTGGGAACATCTACAATACAAACAATTGATTAAAATCCATTTTAGTAGATAAGATTTATTTATTCCAAAGATAAAACCTTTTTCTTTTGGTCCCTTGGTTCTGAAGCGGGCAGTAACAGATTAAGTTTGATGGCCATCGGAGTAAGTTTTAAAGTTTAGTGAGTAAGTAGTGATATAACCTAAGGTTATGTTGCTAACGAAACATTTAACTCAGCTAATAACACCCCTCGCCGACCCCACTCCACCCCAAACGCATCCTAAAGCGTCTTTGGTGTTTAAAATCAAACCAGAAGAACCAGCAAATCCAATCGAACGGTCATTTTTCTTTCTTTCTCTTAATTTATGAAACCAATCGAACGATCATAAATTCCACGTGAATTTCTTTTCTGAGTTTGTATATCTAGCATTGATTTTCTGACGATTTTTTTGATCTATTTTTACTTCTGGGTTTTCCAAACAGCAGTAAGCTAGCTCTTATTTATAAACTTTCGTGGGTTTTGAGAAATGGGGAAATGTGTTAATTGATCATATTTTTACTCTATTTTGCTATAGAGTTGTCGGTCGTCTATGTTCATTTCTCGGTTTTTGCTCATTTCCTGCTCTGGTTACTTGTCCAAAGTTCAATTACTAGAACTGTCAATGCATTTGGGTGTTGTTAGGAGCACAGATGGAATGCCAAATTGGATAGTGAAGAATCGGCTATATGAATCAGTCTAAATTAACCATATTTGTTATTTTTAGAATACAAGACGAAATTTGTTCATTGTTGATGAATTAAATTATGATCCAGATCATGCTAATGATTGTAAGTAAGAAGAAATAGGAATCTTTTATCTTATCATTTTAGAAGTGTCTGGATCCAAAAGTCAATGATGATAAATAATTTTCTTGAGTTGTCAATATGCTTATTATCATCAAATTACTGACATTTCCACGATTTCAACAAAATTTTCAATATTACTGATAGTTTGTAACTCGTCATGTTTTAGGCAAATTTAATCTTTTTCTTTTTCTGCGGGAATTTTTTCATAGTATGGAAAAGTGAAAGAAAATGGATAGACACCTGCACTCGGTGATTAATGTAATAGTTGATCCTAACAAAAAGTATAGTCTTGATAATGCATGATGAAACTTTCTGTAATTCATGAGTTCAGATTGTGGAATCTTTTCTAGTGAAATCAAACATTTTGAGAACTTCATTCCGATTCATGAGCAAAAGTAGAATCAATAGAATTAATATCATTATTTATTGCTTTATAGAGGCTCTCTTTTAAATGGTTGACACAGTTTCAGTAGATTAAATTAGAAGAGGATGGAGTGGACCTAAATTAACATTATAGCCTGTTTTAGTTTCTATGGATAGATATCTTAGTAGATTTAGCAATGAATAAAGTAGAATGGTGCAGAATAATTCATGTAGCGAACCTGAATTTACTGGGAATAAGGTTTAGTTTGTTGTCGTTTCTTTTATTTGTCATTTAGAAACTCTCAGTCTTTTAGTTCTTGAAGTAGCATCCTTCCTACACAGGAGTAAATGTGCACATGCCACAATTTTTCTTCTTGCTCAACTTCTACAATTTGCTTAATTTTTACTGGCTGCAGGGTGGGAATACATAAGAATTTGATGATCGGTGCTTCCACGTCTAGTGGCCTGCGAACGGACTTCTCCTACTGCGTACAGCAAGTACGAAATTATGACTACCACCACTATCTGTTAAGGGATAGAATCCTACATCGAATAAAGATGTAAACATAAACCAACTTATAAAGGATTGGGTTACTCCTCTTAAGAGTAATGCTATACGTACCGATATTTTTTCACAGAAGCTTCACAGAATTTTAAAA